AGGAGGGACCGGTCCTTGAAGAGAAACATCATGATTAAGAGGGTAGAGGGACAGCACAGAAGAGGAAGACCCTCAGTGAGATGGATTGATTCAGAGACTGGGGTAATGGGGGTAGGTGTGTTGGAGACAATAAGATTGACAACAGACAGAGCAGGGTTTAGGGCTGTTGTACATAGGGTCGCTAGGCGACTCGACGGCATATAACAACAAGAAGCCTGAATGAAGTGATTAAATAATTATAAGTGGGTCTAGGGTAGAGTGTTCCAGGAATAGGGAGCAGCTATTGAAGGAATTCTGAGCTAGTCAGGTTTAATAACTAGTGTGGCAGGTCATCAGGCCTGCCTCCCAAGGCACTCTGGGTACATTCGAACCACCAAACTTCCCCCAGAGTAGTTCAGTAGGTAACCAGCATGAGCTCCAAGGATCCCTTCCTGCTGCTGCCTCCTGTTCTCTGTCCACCTACCCGCCACCTACCATACGTCCCACATTCTAGCCACTGACACCTATTTATCCACCTGTTCACAAGGCCTGCCCACTGACGCACATTCTTCTGCCTCTTTGCCTGTACCATCCATCTGCTGTGCATTTCTAGATTTAGCTATCTACCTGTTTCAATGATCTGGCATATATTCATGTTCTCTGTAAACCCACTAGGTCCAACTCTCCCACCTAGATTTATATATTCATCTATCCACTTGTCCCTTTTATTCAACATACATCCATCTATCCACTCATCTATGTGTCCAGCATGCACCCTGCCCACTTTGCCCCCTGTGAGTAAATTTATGTGTATGTGTGCCTTCCCCATCCATCCACTGCGTGTTCCTATGTCCATTCCTGCTTCACCCAGGCCTTCAGTAGGTGTTCATTTATCCTTTCCACTTTTCATCATCCATCCATCCATCCATCGTCCATCCATCCATCGTCCATCCATCCAACATCCATCCATTGTCCATCCATCCATCCATCTATCCATCCTCCATCAACCTATCCATCCATCCACCATCCATTGTCCATCCATCCATCCATCGTCCATCCATCATCCATCCATCCATCCATCCATCATCCATCCATTGTCCATCCATCCATTCATTCATCCATCCATCAGCCATCCATCCATCCATCATCCAATCATCGATCCATCCACCCATCCATCCATCCATACATCATCCATCATCCATCCATCCATCCTTCCTTCCATCCATCATCTATCATCCATCCATCCATCCATCCACCCACCCAATCAAATGACTTCTTCAATCCTCATATTTCCTTAATTCTTTTGACCAACCCACCATTGCAATCCATCTGCTTTCTGCCTTCCTCCCCTCCAACCTATCATCCATCTGCCTTCCACCTTTCCCCTTTCCAAACTATCCATCCATGTGCCTTCCACCTCCAACCTGTCCATCCATCTACCTTCCACCTTCCTGCCCTCCATCCTGTCCATCCACTTTAACATCCACCTACTGATGCTCCTTCTATTGCCCCTCTCAGAGGATCCAACAAAGAAATTATAACCAACGAGTCTTTTTAGCAATTCTGTGTGTTTCATAGTGAGAAAAAGCTCTGAATGTTAGTCACCAAATGAAGGCATTAGAGAAGAATTGTATGTTCATCCTATGGGAATTTCTTTACACAATAAGACTTCAAGAATGAAATAAATACTAATTTTTTTAAAGGCTGAATTGACCATGTTAGTGGTTCATACTGAGGCTAAGAATGAGGTTTGCTGCTCTGTCTTCACGGCTGTTTAATCTCTTTTCTGGAACTCTGCTTTCACTATAGAAGATCTTATTTTATGCCAGACATATGATAATGTTTCTTGTCTACACATGAAAACACAGTAAGTCCTCTGAACAACGACGTAATTACAATGCAGTCATCTCTGTGACAAAGGAGAAGGTCCTGACACTCAACAAGGTGAGCTGACATACCTGAGGCTGCAGGGAGCTCATGTGGAGTCGAGACCGCACCACATGGAGCTCAGCGCCACCACTCGTGCTGGGGTTTGAGTGTGAGTGGTGAGTATGTCCAGCTGTTTAATGGCAGAGTTGAAATTCTGTTTAGGACAATATGGCTCCAGAATTTGTACTTTTAGTCAATATGCTCCATCGTCTAGGAACATGAACCAGAAAATAGCATTGTTTTTATTTGTAATACATATAATTTATAATGTAGACACTTGGTTCGTTAATCACAGTTAATTAGCAGATGGTTTACCTGATTGCTGTCAGCTTCATGTACATCTCATAGCAACTGTTCACTGGGTTTCCAAGGCTGTAAATGCTCACAGGAGGAGGCTGCCCATCTTTCTCCCCTGGAGCAGCTGGTGGATTTGAATTGCTGGCCTTTTGGTTAACAGCTAGTATGTTACACACTATGCCACCAGAGTCCCTTAGGAGGATACAGCGTCAGTCCGGAAGTCATTGACTTCAACTGCTGCACACCACTGGAGCTTGGAAAGTTAATTTGAAAATTGATGTGAATTACTTATTGTTGTTGAGTGCCATTAAGTCATGGATGACCCTCCAGCTGGTTTTCAGATGAGCAGACTGTCTGTCTTTCTCTTGCAGAGTAGGTGGGTTTGAACCTCCTATCTTCCAGTTGGCAGCACAACTCCTTACCCCTAGACTACCGGAGTCAGTACCTATGTTGTTACTATTACTGGGGCTTGTCGATTTGAAGGTAACTCCTAGTGACCCTGTGAACAACAGACCTGAACCTTGGCCTGTCCGGCACCATCCTTACAATCCCCGACACACTTGAGCCCATTGTTTCAGTCACAGTGACTTGAGGGTCTCATTGAGGGTCCTCCTTTCCTCTGCTGTCCCCCACCTTTCCAAGCACGATGCCCCTTTCTAGGGAATAGCCTTTCCTAGTAACATGCCCAAAGTATGAGGGATGACGCTTCTCCATTCTTGCCCCCAAGGAGCACTCTGGCTGCACTTTCCCCAAGACCTATCTGTTTGTTCTTCTGGAAGTCCCTGGGATATTCAGTGCTCTTTCCACAACTCAAAGACCAGAATTCTTCTGTCATCTTTATTCATTGTACAGCTCTCAGAGGCATAGAAAGTGACTGAAAAGACCGTGTCTTAAATCAGGCCCACCTTAGTCCTCAAACTGACATCCCTGCTTCTCAGTAATTTGGAGAGAGTCCTGACAGTGGACTTCCCAAATACGACATGTCTCCTGATCTCCTGACTGCTGGTAACAGGGGTGTTGATTGTTGACCCAAGTAAGCTGAAATCACTGAAAACTTCAATCTCTCCATCTCCCATGACGTGGTGTATTGGTCCAGTGGTGAGGACTTTTATCTTCTTGGCGTTGAAGGCCGTGGTCTTTGATCTTCTGTGGCAAGTCTTTTCAGTCCTCCTCACTTTCAGAATGTTGTGTCATCTACACATTGCAGGTTGTCCCCCAGTCCTGATGCCACATCCTCCCTCAGACAGTTCATGTGACACATGATCTTTTTAGAAAGAAGAGCAACCTTGAGTGAGAAGGGCACTTCTTCCCAGACTCATTGGATAAAGACTCCACGGGGGTACAGAGTCCCGCCCTCCTTCGTCCCCCGCTTCCTGACCTTGCTTCTTTTCCTCCCTCCGTCTCCAGCTTCTGTGACAGTCCTGTATGACCTTCAAGTTCTGTACGACCTTCCAAGTCCCGCCAAGTTCTCCCACGGTCCTCACCGTTCTCTCCTTCCTTGCCCCCGTGGCTCTGCCCTCCACCCCTCGCTGTCTTCTCCTGGCTCGCCCCACCTCTCCCACATCTCTCTCTTGGTGCCTCATGCTCTTCTCTTTGTCCACTCCACCCTTCTGCTGGATCCATTGCTCGCCCATAAGGTGATCCATCAACTCAGTGCGCACCCCTCCTTGACCCCCCTGTAGGTATCCATCCTGTTACCTACCCATTGTTCTTTTCATCCAGCCTTCCTCCTGCTGCTGTTCCTGGCCCGTCATACTCCTGAATGATGAGCCCACCGAGGGGCTGGACATCTGCCAGTGCACTCGTCTGTCTGTCACCTTCCCTCCTTCGTCTCAACCTCCTCCGTTGTCCATCCCACCATCCTTCGATCTATTAATGCAGACACTCTCTCCTTTGCCCGCCTCCCTTGCAGTGTTGACAGTTGTGGGGGTGAGACGGTTGAGAAGAGGGTAGCCCCCACTCTTCCCTGGGTGGAGGACAGCTCATCCCTCAGGGACTTGTCCTGACAGAGAAAGGAGGGCGTTCCCCAGCATTGTCCACCACGCCCCCAGGGCTTGCACGGCTCCAGCCCACTCCCTTCACCTCAGTCTCCCTTTCTGGACCCCCCCCCCGGACTGCCAGCTGTGTTGTTTATTCACCCTCAAGGAACACCAGCTAATTTTAAACTGTTGTTAGTAGGTGCCCTCGAGTCATCTCTGTACAGCAGAGCAAGCGCTGACCAACCTGTGGCCACCTCCCAGGGGACGTTGCACCGGCCCATCTTGCTGGGCATTTGAGGCCCTTCTCCGGGACTGCTCCCTCCTGACAGCATGGCCACAGGATGCTTGGTTAGGCGGGATGACCACATGCAGGACGGCTTATCTCTAGCCTCCTGCCACAGAAAGACCTCAAGAGTTCTTGAACACACTGACCAGTTCCTCTGAGTAAATCACCCCTGACTTCCAGAAACCCTGGAACCCCAAAGCTCAGGCTCCCTCCCATCTTTCTCTCACCAGTACCCTGGTTCCGGTCACCGCTGGCTCATGGGGACCCACGTGGGTCACGGTAGAGCTGTGTGCCATCAGTTCGCACAACAGGGTCCGGCAGTAGGTTGCCAGGTATTTCCTTCTGCGGTGCTAGTGTTTGTTTTGCGAACTGTCTGAGAGTGAGTCACAGACACTGTACCCCTGCACGTTTTAACGCCTCTTTCCCCAGAGGCCTGGCAGGCCCCCAGAACACACCCTGGTGCCATCCTGGCCTGGTGCCAGCTGACCAGCTCTCTACTCCTTGTCCTCACCACCTGGCTCCCCCTCCAGGTCCGAGACAAGAAGCTTCTCAACGACCTGAATGGGGCAGTGGAGGATGCCAAGACCGCCCGGCTGTTCAACATCACCAGCTCCGCCCTGGCCGCCTCCTGTATCATCCTGGTTTTCATCTTCCTGCGGTACCCACTCAGCGACTACTGAGCTTGGAGAGACCCAGCGGGACGCTGGGGATGGGCTGCCGTCCCGCTCAGCGACTTCTGAGCTTGGAGGAACAGTGCGGGATGAAGATGGGCTGCCCGCTCACTGACTGAGCCCAGGTGCTTCTGCCCCAGGTGCGGGATGCTGAGGGGGGCCTGCTCTGGGCCCGCCCACAGCTGTGATTTGGGCTGAGGCCACCAGAGTTCTGTCTGTCAAAGCGGCAGCGAGCGCCCCAGCCTGCCTTCTCTGCCCTGCCTGCTCGGGGCCCCCAGTCTGTCCCTTCTCCTAGAGTCTCTCGTGCTGCTGCCCCTGGCTTCCAATGGCTGCCCCACCCCTTGGACCCCTGACACCCAGCAAGAAGGGCTTATGCGGGAGCTGCCTAATGTGGGGGACTGCCAGCATCTGGGGACCCCCTACTCCAAGCTGTGATTCTGCTCAGAGCTCTTGTATCTGTGACTTTCAATAAAAATGCCTGCCCAGCTCACCCGACCTGTCCTGGGCTGAGCGGGAGGGAGACTCAGAGCCTTGTCTGGTGGGCCCTGAGGAGCAAGGCCTCACAGCTGCGTGTCCACCGACCTGGCAGAGCGGAACTGGCCCTGTGGTCTCTGACCGGCTCACGAGGGCAAGCTATTGGAGGAAGGCACCCGACACACCAGCAAGCGGAGTGTCAGGCAGCTTCCTTGAGGGCAGTGGTGGTGGTGGGAGCCCAGCCACCCTCAGTCCCTCCAGGGCCATCCAGTGGCCAGTGACAGCAGAGACTTGGCTGCTTATTGCCCACCTTGGACAGCTCAGGGCAACTCCTCAGCTCCCTCCAGCCCAGTTCCTGGTCTAGAAAACGGAGCAGAGGAATCCTGGTTTCTCGTAGTCACCATGAAAATCAGTGAAGGGAACTGCCACACAGCTGGCTCTCGGCCCTGTAGGGGACACAGTGGCAGTGCCAGCCCTGGGCAGGGACCTGCTAGTCCCAGGGAGCTCTTGGTGTGGAGGGTGGTGACCAGGGCACATGATGACACAGGTGGACAGTCCTGAGGGCATCCAGGGTTGGGGGAGTCAGCTGAAGGGTGAGAGAGAGCTTGGCAGCAAATAGCGGATCAGAGAGAGTGGGGGCCAGCTTGCGTGAACCCTCAAGGTGGTGCTTGTCTCGTGTGGGGGACAGGAAGTCTGTGGGCTCAGTACTTCATGTAACTTTGTAACCCAGTCAAGAGGCTGTTGTGAGTCTAGACGGCATCTTGGGGTGCCGATCTGCTCCATCACCCAGGCTTGTCAAGTAGCACAAGGCTGGAGGCCAGTTATGAGGAGCTGGAGGAGGTGGCATCAGGTTTGAGGGATGGAGAGCTACTCGTGGGAGGGGCCAGGAAAGCTCCCTGCATATCCCATCTCCTAAATATCCAGAAGTGGACAGGTCTGTGGGCCGAGCGTGACTTCTCCAGACCTGGCATGTGGGGCTTGGGCATGTAGTGCTGCTGTAACAGATGGCACCAGGCAGCTTAAACAAACACAAATTTAGGCTGTCACAATTTAAAGCAAGAAAACTCCGACTCACTGCCCTCAGTGAGTCCTGCCACGCAGGTGCTCCCGCCTGCCCTCTGGGTGACCTGGCTGAAGAGAGGAGGAGCTGTGGGGGTCCACAGTGCAGGAGATGCAGCCCCTGGCGAGCAGCGCCGCACGGGAGGACGCGGGAGGACTTGAGTCTGGGCTCCAGTTCAGGGCAGGATTGCTTCAGTTGAGGAGGAAGGTCTTGTCTTCCTTCAGTATCTGAGGGTCCCTTGCAGGTCTTCACCTGTCCTGGCATTGGCTGTCCCCCGAGTCCAGGAGGTTCCCAGTGCAGGGCCCTGGGCCTGAAGGACATGGTCCCCTCCCAGCTGCTCTCCCCTGGCCACAGTAGGGCCTTGTCGTCTCTGCTTGCTTGTTTAATCTCTTTTGTATCTAAAAGGACCTGACTCAGACCCAGCCACACCTGTATGCTGCACCCCTTCCCCTTACATCATGTCGCCAGGTGCCATCAAGTCCACCCAACACACACGTCCCTGTGAACAGCAGACCTGACCCTTTCCTGTCCCATGCCATCTTCACCATCACGTGCCCTTTCTTGTCACCATGTCCGCCCTCTTGCTGAGGGCCTTCCTTCTTGTCTCTGACCCTCCTCTTTCTCAGCATGCCGGGGATGCCTTTCTCCAAGGACTGGCCCCTCCTGACAACAGGTGTGAGACAAAGCCACACCATCCATGCCTCGAGCGAGCTCCCAGCTTGCACTTGCTCTGGGGCACAGTGTCTGCTTGGTCCATGGGACCTTCAGTACTGTTCTCCAACACAGCTTGACACAGCACAACACAACTCGACACAGCTCGACACAGCACAACACAACTCAACACAACACAACTCAACACAACACAGCACAACTCAACACAACACAACTCAACACAACACAGCACAACTCAACACAACTCAACACAACACAGCACAACTCAACACAACTCAACACAACACAGCACAACTCGACACAGCTCGACACAGCACAACACAACTCAACACAGCACAACTCAACACAACACAGCACAACTCAACACAACACAACTCAGCACAACACAGCACAACTCAACACAACTCAACACAACACAGCACAACTCAACACAACACAACACAGCACAACACAACTCGACACAGCTCGACACAGCACAACACAACTCAACACAGCACAACTCAACACAACACAGCCCAACACAGCACAGTATGACACAACACAACACAGCTCAACACAACACAGCTCAACACAGCACAACTCAACACAGCACAACACAGCTCAACAGCGCCGATTCTCCTGTCATCCTGACTCACTGTGCACAGCACAGGAAGCAACTGAAAAAGTGATCGCTTTGATCAGGCACCTCTTAGTCTTTTTTTTTTTTTTTTTTTACCTCTTAGTCTTTAAACTCACATATAGAATGTACAACACATAGGATCACGCCATCAGATCACTGAATGTAGGAGAATTCTTTCTCAGTACCGACAATCACGGCCCAGACAAGTTGACACATATTTTGGGGGCACACAATTCAACTCATGACATGGGAAGAGCATGGGAGGGGTGCCACAACTTTCTAGGGAGCTGAGTGGCCTGAGCAGAGGGGTGCCTGGAAGTCAGAGCAGCGCCCCATGATGGGAAGGGGAGGTCAGGGGAACTCCTGGAGAGGCCACAGCTTCGCACGTGGTCTAGGCCCTGAGGTGCTTGATCCCTCGAGGAGGTGGTTCTGATGACAAGGTGTGTGTGAACGAGAGAGCAGATGAGGAGGAAGAAGTGAGGACAGAGAGACTGGAGGGAGGGGGAAAGCTGCGTGTGAGGAGACACAGGAAGGAGAGAGTGGGGACTGGAGAAGCAGGTCCTAGGGGAGTGTCCCAGGCTTCCGGGGCTGCGGTGACACGGGCAGGAGTGGATTCTCTTACAGTCCTGGAAGCCACAAGTCCAGAAGCAGGGTGCCAGCTGCGGCGGGGCCCGGCCGTGTCGGTGATGGAAGGAAGTGTATCTCCTTCAGCGTCTGTGAGCACTGCCGTCCTGGCACATCTCCCTGAGGTCAGGCTCCCCCTGCAGGGACCCAGCTCCGAGCCAGCTTACTCTGCCCTTGGCGACGCTTCCTTAGTGATACTGAGACGCCCTCAACCCATTATCAAACCCAACTCACTGTCACATTAGAACCGACCCATAGCTGACCTCCAGTGGGTTTTGGGGGGGGGGCAGTAAATCACATGGAGGAGACTTCCCAGGCTTCTCTTGCAGTGCTGCTAGTAGATTCGAACACTTACCTTTAGGTTGAGAGTTCAACTCCCCACCTGGTAGGCCACTGGAGCTCCTTCAGCTCCTTTCAGAAAAGTGAAAAAAAGGAAAAAACTCAATATAAATAAAAATTTAAAATGCACAGCTCACTGGATTTCACAAAGCAAGCTCTCCTGAAGCCCTCACCAGCACCATGGGACCCGGGTTTCACACCAGCCCCACCCCCCCGGACCTTCCCGTCTCCCCTCCTCTCCCAATAGCAGCAGTCTTGCTGACTTTGCATCAGGCCTGGGTTCTGAGGTGTGTTCTCACCATCTGAGCTCACACCCATTGCTGTGCTGTCAGCGGCCGCTGAGAGAGACACCAGCCCTGGTGACCTCGTGAATGGAACAGAGTGCTCCCTGTCCCCGCGTCATCGTCAGTCAAGGCCGCCGTCGGGTCGGGCCAGGGGATGATCCACTTGCTGAGAGCCTCCCATGCTCTCCCTGACTCTCTGCTCCACCAAACACAGTGTTTCTGGTGCTGGATCCTCCTGGCAACTTGTCCAGAGCAGGGAGCTGAGCGATGTGTTCTGAGTCACCCGGTTTTCATTAGCTAACTTTAAAAAAACACAACACACAGCTGGAAATATTTCCTCTTCTAGTAATTGTTGACAAAACCCATCACTTACAGGTAAATGAGTAGACTGAGGAAGCATCGATGCCTTTGAATAATTGTGCTGGCAACGTTTATTGAACAAGGACTGTAAAAAACCAGACACACGTGCCTTGGACGAGATGCAGGTTCGACCGTCCTTAGAGGCAAGAATGGTGCCACTTGAGCTCACGTGCTTTGGACGTGTTGTCAGAAGGGACCAGCTACTGTAAAAGAACTTCATCCCTGGGAAGGCAGAGGGTAGGTGAAGAAGGCGGCGTCCAAAGAGGGGGGCTGACGCAGTGGCTGTGCCCTTGGACTGATGCTCGGAGGTGACAGTGAGGAAGAGGACCGGTGGGGGCAGGGGCGGCTGGGTCAGAGGGGACGCGATGGTCCCTAGCAATGAAGCGATCGTTGCAGTTGTGAGGCGATGCACTGGCACCTGAAGGGTGCTCGCGGAGCAGCATGTTTATTTCGGGAGCCACTGGTGATGCCGTAGCAGGCGCGTGGTGGCTGCCTGGAGGGGCTACGCTTGGAACCACTCGGTGCTGCACAGGGAACGTGCCGCCTCTTCCTGAAGGACCACGGCCTCGGAAGCGGCACAGCGTCCTCCTAGCCCATGGGCCCCGTGATCCACAATCAACCTGATGGCCCCTGCTGTTGGCTTTTGTTATTTTTTTTAAAATTAGTTTTCATATAATAATTCCTCTCCATAATGTTTCATAATCTTTCGTTTATGTGTTTCATATAATTATGTACGTTCAATTTTATGTTCTTTTTTAATCGATTTGCTTACAAAGTTTATAGACGTGTTATTGTAATGATTCTTTGCTCATTTCTCCTGGATTTCCTGATTAATTTTGTAACATCTGATTACCAGGGTGAGAGTCACTGCTCTCCCTTCCTAACCCATGTACATGTTGTTCCTTTTTTTCTCTCTCCTTGACTGCCTTCATATTCGAGGACCCAGCTGTGACATAAAATTGAAGTGCCAAGAGCAGGCTTTTCCCCCAGCAATAATCCTTATCACAAAGATTAACCTTTCAAAACTGTACAATTTTGGATGCTATTTGCTCCAGGCATTTGCAGATATCCTTTGTTAGTTTAAGTACTTTCCCAATTATTCACAGTATTCAAATATTGGCATTTTTGCTATGATTCCATAAATATGGGAAACTGCATTCTGCAAAGCTTGGACTGAAAATGACAGGATGGGTGGGGAGATGGGTTTTGAAGGTGGACTTGAAGGTGGACAGCTCAGAGCCTGCTGGACTTAGTGGCCATCTCCGTGCCCTCTCCACTTTCGCTGCACACCTTACTCCACCCTGGCTGATGATTCTTATATCAGTGAAGAGCTCCTCAGAAACATTTACCTCCAGCGTTACCTTCGGAAAGCATACAGTCTATGGCTGTACCAACAGCTTCTTGGTCACGAACCGTTGTGTGGACAGAACAGAGGAACACTGCATGGTTTAAAATTAGGAAAGTTGGGTGTCAGGATTGTATCTTCCTCCAGTTCTTTTCAATCTGAATTGTTAAGTGCTGTCGAATCATAGATGACTTATAGCAACCCTGTGAATGAAAGACCTGAACACTTGTATAACTTTCATTGTTTCTCCAAGTTCATATTTTCCGGAGGCAAGCCATTTCAGAAATGGATGCCACTCCTGCTTCCAAGCAGCTTCTTGATCTAGGTATAAGTTTAGCATGAGTACAATTAAGTGTTCTGGGATTCTCATTCTTCTCACTGGTAGGCATCATTTGTTAGGCTAGTGAAATCTCTAAATAAGCATAATTCTTTTGATGTTTCCTTGTTAACCAATAAGACCTCCATGAATGTTTCTGCTATCTAGAGCTGCTATAATAGAAACATTACAAGTGGGTAGTTCAACAAAGAGAAATCCTTTCTTCTAGATTTTAGGAAGCTAAGAGCCCAAATGCAGGGTACTGGTTCTAAGGGAAAGTGTTTAAAGAGCTGAAAATGAGACATAAGGTCACAAGGCTGTGAATGTCTCCCTGAAAAGACCAGGAGTCAAAATAGCATGGCCCCTCTCTGCCCCAGCGCAGAAAGCAGATAAAGAGCCCGTAGCCCTGCTCTATGGTGCTTCTAGAGCCCCACCAACAGCAAGGTGTTTGTTTATTCATTGTTCACTTACAGTTGTAGTGCTGAGAATGGGGTTTATTAGGGAAGGAAGTTGGAGAGTAGGGGAGGCAAAGAATATCATCCAAAACAAGTCCAGATTTTAGCCCAAGTTCCAAGGCACATTCTTCAATTAGTCCAGGCTCTGGTTTCAGCTCAGCAGTCAAATCTAAATCATCCAGCAAGATTTGCCTCTATAAGTCAGCTTCTCCTTCAAGCATTGGCAAGAACAGCAAAAACTTTTAACTGTGGCCAGCACAAATGCAATAAGCCTCAGGTCACATCTTGCCACAGTTTCTCCACAGCAATGCCACAGTCCCTCCACCACCATCACCACAGTCTTTCCACCAAAGTGTCCCCGAAGTCGTGCTATCACAAGTCTTGCTCTCCTCAATTCTTGCTGCTAAGAGTGGGAACATTCTTTCTCATCCTAGTCCCAAAGCCGTTGATGATTTGCAAGACACCACGTGCCTGCAGTTAAGGTAGCTGGACACCAGAGGGAGCTAACTGTAATGGATTTTAAAAGCCAGTTTTTAGGCTAACACCACAGAAGGCTTGTGGCGGAAAGCCTTTGCTTCTGGCTCTGAAGGCCTGCTTTCTCTGGAGACCTCCATTTGGCCTGGTCTTCCCTGAGGTCAAAAAACTTCATTATGCAGCAAACCTCCTTAGAAAAGGTACGTTCCCCTCCTGGCAGTTTGTTCTTATAGGTACTGAGAACTTCCTATCCCCCTGCCCGGTTTGCTTTCTTTCCCTTTTACCTTAGTAAGACAAAGGGTATCACTGTCACAGCCTAGTGAACTCCCTTCTGCCTGATTGGGGTACGATGGGTCTATCGAGATCATAGGTGATCATTACAAAGCTGCCATGTTATGTCACTGGCTATGTCAATTTTGGGAGTCCTTAGTTTGGATCCCAAAAATAAACATGTGTTGGGTCAGAAACGGCTCTATTTGAAAAAAAA